AAGGCAAACGTAACCTAAACACAATGTTTCGTCTAAAAGAGATTAGCAAGAATGAGAGAAGAGAGAAGCAAACCCTCGGTGGAGGATCGGAACCAGAATCTAGTGGTGGTCCTGGTGGAGGATGAAGATCCTGATGATCGTTTAACTCTCTTCTTCTCGGTTCTGCCTGGCTTCTTCATCTCTTCTTTCCGAGAAGATGCAACGATGAAGAAGAAAGCGAAGAAAGGATTGATTATTCAGGGAGTGGGTTAATAGATCGATCAAACGGAAGAGACGAAAGGGGAAGTGAGGAAGTCGAAATTCAGGCAAATATCTGTGGCTTCCTAGATTTATGACCCAGACTCAAACCAGGCATAACCAAAAATCAATTTCGTACGCAAAACCAAACATGATTTTCACTGAACAAACCGATTATGACGTGGTGAAATAGAGCATTATTACTGGTTAAATATATTTGCAAACGTGGACAATGTAAGCAGCCTCCATTTAGGCCTTTTAATAGTGTTAGATTTGCTCCTAACAGTTTTGTGTGTATGTGCATATGAGGAATGTCTTTCCATAGCTGTTATGGGAAATTTAGAAAGTTAGGAATAATTTCGTTTTCAAAACCGAGGATATTGAGCCTTCATTTATTGCTAAGAAAGCCTTTGAAAAAAAATCAACATGGTTTGATACATTTACAGGAAAAAAAAATGTTAATGAGGATGCTACTGATATGATTAAATGGAGAAGATCTCCTCGGGGTTTCCTTAAATGTAATGTTGGGTCTTTTTGGAAAAGTTCGAATTCTTCAAGTGGTGCTTCTTGGATTTTGCGAGACGAAAATGGACGTACAATAATGCATAGTCGTCGGGCTTACTCTTATATGCGCACAAAAACAGAAGCGGATTTGTGGTCTCTTTTTTGGGCTGTGGAATGCATCCACAATCTACATTTTTCGAATATTATTTTTGAAATTTCCTCGGAGTACCTCCATGACGTTTTCACAAAGCCAAATGAGCATCCTAATCTCAGCCATATCCGTCACAATATCTCCCTTCTGCTCGCACAGATACCTACATGGAGTTTAGATCACGCGCTACCAGAACGTAATGAAGCTGCTGACACTATTGCAATAAGTGTCACTCGCGACCACCGCCACCAGTCCTATCTCGCGCCGTAATGCTCCCGCATGGCTACATCACCTTCTCGCTTTGGAGGCTCAGCATTTAGAGGGTGGGTGAAATTTTCGTTCTTTTCTTTTTGGATGTCTAATGATATCTTCTTTCTTTCCTTGTAACATTCAATAATTGTGTATCGCCTCGAATAATTGTTCGCATCAATGTTTAAAAAAAAACAGTTTTGTGTGTATTAAAGCAGTTTTTTAAAAAAATTGTTTATTTTGCAATTCAAAGCTTTAATTTTTATCTTTTACCTATCAATCAATGTACATTTAATAAGATTACTAGATAAGATAAACTCTAGGTAATACAACTAAATAAACTGGTTTTTTTGGATAAAACCATGACAGAATATAATGAAAAATCGAATTATGTCAACTAAATACTGCTACTAGAAGCCAAAGTTCTATGGTCAGTTATAATACTAGAGTAATATTCATTAGAATTAAAATTTTTTATCATAGTATCTTCACTATAATGTTGGTTTAGTGCTCATCATACATAATTTTTTAGTCATGATATTGTCCTAGTTCCCTATTCTGTAGACATATATTTATATTTTTATGATAATTAATAAATTTTAAACATTTCATACCAAAAAATTGTATAGCGTTCCAAAAACAAATAGTGTCCATTGGACAAAATAAATAATAAAGGGTTAATTAGTAACAAACAAAAAGTCGGAGGAGTACATAGCAAATCGGGTCGTTGGCATTTTCTTCCACCTCTCCACACACGAGACTCAACCACTGAACCAAAATCTCTCTACATTAGCTTCTGATCTCCCTGGGATTCTCTCCGATCGGGTGACATCTCGTGGTTTCTGCTCCGTTCGATCTCACGGCGTAAAAATTCAAATCACATCTCAACCGCAACCTTATCAGCGATGGCTCCTCCAGCTGCTTCAGCGCGTTATCCCTCACCGTCTCAACCTTCAGGGTAAAACTCATTCTCGATCAATACCGCTTAGCTTCACTTTGCTTCCCTTCATCCATTAGATAAGAGTCAGCGATCAGTTTTACAATTCGATCACAATTGTAACGGATCTAGTTTTAGGTTTAAGCTTCGATCAATGTGTATATGCGATAATCCGATCTCTCTTTAATCAAACGAAAGCGTGAAATATTTTCCAGGAAAAGCGAAGTGACAGATCTGAAATCTCAGCTTCGTCAGCTAGCCGGAAGCAGAGCTCCAGGAGTCGATGATTCAAAGCGCGACCTCTTCAAGAAAGTCATATCCTACATGACTATCGGCATTGACGTCTCGTCCGTATTCGGAGAAATGGTCATGTGCTCGGCTACATCAGACATTGTCCTCAAGAAGATGTGTTATCTTTACGTTGGAAACTACGCCAAGGGAAATCCTGATCTCTCCCTTTTGACGATCAATTTTCTCCAGAGGGATTGTAAAGATGAGGATCCTATGATCCGTGGACTTGCACTGAGGAGTTTGTGTTCTTTGCGAGTGCCGAATCTTGTTGAGTATCTGCTTGGTCCTTTGGGGAGTGGGCTGAAGGATAATAACAGCTATGTGAGAACTATTGCTGTAACTGGAGTGCTGAAGTTGTATCACATCTCGGCCTCGACGTGTATTGATGCTGAATTTCCCGCGACTTTGAAGAGTTTGATGCTTCATGATTCAGATGCTCAGGTTTAATTTTGTTTTGTTGAATGTGCTTGGACGTGACCCTCCCTAGAGAATCACTTGTTTTGTGTGATTGGTACCTTTTTTGATATAAAATATGTTCCCAGGTTGTTGCCAATTGCCTGGCTGCACTTCAAGAAATTTGGAGTTTGGAAGCAAGCCACTCTGAAGAGGCGTGTCGGGAGAAGGAATCTTTGCTTAGCAAGCCACTTATATATTATTTCTTGAACCGGTATGTGCTTTAGCTCCTCTTTTATCCTTCAATCACAATACTTTGGTGTTGTAGTCGTGTCTAAAAAGGGAGAAGCAAATTTCACTATGGTGGTTGTGTTTCTTTGCAGGATCAAGGAATTCAATGAATGGGCGCAGTGTCTTATACTTGAGTTGGCTGTAAAATATGTGCCTTCAGATAGTAATGATATTTTTGACATTATGAATCTGTTGGAGGACAGGCTTCAGCATGCGAATGGTGCTGTTGTCTTGGCAACAGTCAAAGTGTTTCTGCAGTTGACACTCTCCATGACTGATGTTCATCAACAGGTACCAAGTCCACCTCCTTATCCTAATCATGGAAAAAATTCCTGATAAAATAAGTTTTCTGTGAGGTTTTATTATGATACGCTTGTGCATAATTTCCGCTGTGTCCAAAAAATGATAGAATTACTTTTGGTGACGTTGTCTGAAATCTTGAAAATCAGATTTTAGTTTCTAGCAGAAGAAAGTCATCACCTCTGGAAATCTTGATTAGTTTTTTTTCAGCGTTAGTCGTGATCACTGTCTCACTGATACCAAATGATCTTGTTTAGGTGTATGAGCGTATTAAATCTCCACTTTTGACTCTCGTTAGTTCTGGAAGTCCAGAGCAGTCGTATGCAATCTTGAGCCACCTACATCTTTTGGTTGTCCGTGCGCCATTCATCTTCGCCTCAGATTATAAGCATTTCTACTGCCAGTACAATGAACCATCATATGTCAAAAAGCTGAAGCTTGAGATGTTGACTGCTATTGCAAATGAAAGCAACACTTACGAAATCGGTATGCTTTCATATTATATCAATATGAAATCTGGAATGAGAAAACGTTTTGTTTTTGTCTCTTTAATGTGATTGTTTCGTGATTTTCTTTCCACTCAGTGACGGAACTGTGCGAGTATGCTGCAAATGTTGATATTGAAATTGCAAGGGAATCAATTCGGGCGGTTGGGAAGATTGCTTTGCAGCAGTATGATGTGAACGCGATTGTTGATAGACTTCTTCAGTTTCTGGAGATGGAAAAGGACTATGTCACTGCTGAAACTTTGGTAAACTATATTCACTGGATGATCACCCATTCATATTATTTGCATTTTCATTACGAATTTACTTGTCTGGTTCCTCCTTTAGGTTCTTGTGAAGGATCTTCTAAGGAAGCATCCACAATGGAGCCATGATTGCATTTCTGTTGTTGGCGGTATCAGCAGCAAAAACATTCAGGAACCCAAAGCCAAGGCGGCTCTTATATGGATGTTGGGTGAATATGCCCAGGACATGAGTGATGCTCCTTATATTTTGGAGAATCTGATAGAGAACTGGGAGGAAGAGCATTCGGCTGAGGTACTTTGGCATCACTTTTTTTTACTAAGGCTTCTTTTATTGATGCTGCTTGATACATCTGCATCGTTGTTTCTCTGTGTTTCTCCTTTTTACCTTTATCATATTGTAAAAAATATGCATAATGGTTTAGGTTAAAGGGGGGGGGGGGATTTTGAAGAAAAAATGAATATTTTAAAATGGATCAGAAGAGAATGTAAAAGGTGAAAATACAGAAACTAGATGTAAAATATGAAGAAGCAGTAGTTTCATAAGGTTTCCAGAAATTTATGTAGACCTAGCAATATTTGCTTGATAGTAGCATTTGCTGAAACTTTGGTTCTATGTTTGCGTGAGAAGGACTTGCATATTCGTCTAACGAAAGTACTGTCCTGTTGAACAGGTCCGGTTGCATCTCTTAACTGCAGCTATGAAATGCTTTTTCAAGAGGGCACCTGAGACTCAGAAAGCCCTGGGGATAGCGCTAGCTGCAGGAATTGCTGATTTTCACCAGGTACCATCCGATCTTCCCCTTCCAAATCTCTCTTATTCTGAAACCGTTGGCCCATTAGATCACTTATTTAACATTAACTGTTGGTGTAGGATGTTCACGATCGAGCCTTGTTCTACTATCGGGTTCTGCAACACGATGTGCATGTGGCAGAACGTGTTGTTAGTCCTCCACAACAGGCGGTTTCAGCCTTTGCTGACACTCAAAGCAGTGAAATCAAAGACCGTATATTTGATGAGTTTAACAGCCTTTCTGTGATCTACCAGAAGGTATGTTTCCTGACTTTACTGTCAAAGCCAATGTAGCAGTATGCATTAAATAGCCTTGATATTATTCAGAGGTTTTCTTTACTTGCTTTCATAGTACCATCATTTTTTTCGCAGCCATCTTACATGTTCACGGATAAGGAACACCGAGGGCCCTTTGAGTTTTCAGACGAAATTGGAAATATTCCCATCACACCTGAAACTTCCAGTGACATTGTTCCAGCTCAGCAATATGAGGCAAATGACAAGGACCTGCTTCTGAGTACTGACGAGAAGGACGACAACAAAGGACTTTCCAGTAACAATGGTTCCGCTTACACGGCTCCATATGAAAACTCTAATATATCCTCGCAAATGCAAGAACTTGCAATCTCCGGCCCTGCCACGTCCGCAACTACCACACAATCTAGCTTTGATTTTGATGATCTCCTTGGTTTGGGTCTAACAGCAGCTCCTGCTCCAACACCGTCACCACCTCTTTTAAAGCTTAACCCAAGAGCTTCTCTAGATCCACGTGCCTTCCAACAGAAATGGCGCCAACTGCCCATATCATTAACACAGGTCCCCCTCCCCCTACAGTTTTCACCTCGTGATGGCATTATTGATGAAACCATTGTCTTACATTATTATATGCATTTAGACCTCTTAGTATTGTAACTTCCTTGACTTCCTTTGCAGGAGTTTTCCGTAAACCCCCAGGGAATCGCGGCCTTGACAGTTCCACAATCACTTATCAAACACATGCAGAGTCATTCCATTCACTGCATCGCATCGGGAGGTCAAGCTCCAAACTTCAAGTTCTTCTTCTTTGCTCAAAAGGAAGCAGAACCCTCGGACTATCTCACTGAGTGTATCATAAACTCTTCATCGGCCAAAGCTCAGATAAAAGTGAAAGCAGACGAGCAGAGTACCTCTCAGGCATTCGCCACTGTATTTGAAACAGCCTTGTCCAAATTTGGCATGCCTTGAAAAAACAAAACTCGTTATGTATCACGCTGGATTGGATCTCTACATTCTGTTTCAAAATGAGATAATACTGTTTCTTTGTGTTGTAGAACATAAGATATTACAGCGAGGTACTTTTTTTATCGTTGAACTTTTGGAACTTGAACGTTTAAGGTTCATTACATTTCAAGTGATCTCAAATGAAACTTGTACAGTTTGGTGTTTTTCCAAACTTTAGGGTTCAGTAAAACGTAATAAAAAAGGTTTTAGGCCGTTTACGTTAGCTTTATAAAAAAGAAGGTTAGTTTTGCAAAATTTATATTTTATTAAGACCAGGAAGGAAAGAACAAAAGTCATTGGTCTTTGTTTGCGGGTCTCTTTTTATATTCTCTAGAGTGGTTACGATTTCATCATTGTTGCAACTTGTAGGGAAGAGAGGGGGAGATAGGGAAGAGAAAGGGGGAAACCCTAGATTCCATTTGCTCCATCTCTCGAATCGAAGGCGATGGTGTTCTACTTCAAGGCCCGACCAGATGCTGGAGACTACACCATCTTCATGGGGCTTGATAAGTTTGAGAACGAGGAGCTCATCAAGTACGGCTTCCCCGAAGACGTCTGGTGAGCGAGAAAAAGAATATTATTTATTTTATTCCGATCATCCTCGATTGTTTCTGTCTCGGAAATCGATGTTCATCTAGCTGGTTTGATCGAATTTTGAGTTTGTTCCCCTTGTTTATGCTGAGATGTTTTGGTAGATTGGTATGGGAATATGGAAATTATTGGCGAATAATAGGGTGGTTAACCCTTTTACTCAAGTTTTGTTTTTGATTATTTCACTTAGTTATATATGTGCTATGTCTTGCTATGGAGCTGTTGTTTATTATCTTCTATAGATTCTGTCGAATTTTGTTATCTTATGATTTTCATGTGACATACTTTTTTGAAAACTTATTCGGCAGAAGGGAATTTTGGTACTTAAGGTTTCGGAAATTGTTTGTTTGTTGAGACATATGCATTAGAAATGATGAAACTAGCTCAGATGTTTTCATTGGTATTCTATTTTCCAGATATTATATGTCTATTCTCCATTCATGCTGTGTTGGCTACATCCAAAAACTTTGATGTCTGTAGATATGATTAGGGATTTGTTACCTTCTACTTTGACAAATGACAATTTCATTTTCTAAAAAAAAAAACGATTGCAATTTCACGACTTTCCTATTGTATGTGTTGTTTAGCATTTCGTTTTTGGTTTAGGAAGTTGTTTCATCACTGATTTTTAGGGGTTAACTTATGAATACCTTCTGGTCATGGTATTGTTACGAATTTCAATATTTGATCATGGAATAGGATTCTTGTTACCATATAATTTTACAACTTCCTATTTTTTTACCAAGTAAATTCTTGGAGATTCACCTACTCAGTATGTTAATCTCGCAACCAAATGCTAAAAGTAATTTTCGTTTGATGCAGGTTTCACGTTGATAAAATGTCGTCAGCTCATGTGTACTTAAGGCTTCATAAAGGCCAGGGTTTTGATGACATTAATGAAGGTGTGCTGGAGGACTGTGCTCAGCTTGTGAAAGCTAATTCCATTCAAGGTAAAATCTTTACCCTTCTTTTCCACTTGTCTTGAACCTAACATTTACACAACCATTGGTCTTGGAGTATCAGTTTGTTCACATTTCTCAGTTTTGTTTAGAAGGAGGGCACTTATAGGTTATATTCTGTTTTCTTACGGACTGGCTTCTGGGATTATGTACTAGGCAACAAGGTGAACAACGTTGATGTTGTGTACACTCCGTGGTCCAACTTGAAGAAAACCGCCTCCATGGATGTTGGTCAAGTTGGTTTCCACAATTCCAAGATGGTAAGCTTCTTCATCTCTCAAGAAAATATGGGTTGTGCATAACATGGTTGCAAAGCAATGCTGACACCTAATTGATATTGTGTGATCTTTAAGGTCCGGACTATCAGAGTGGAGAAACGCGTCAATGATATAGTTAACAGGTTGAACAAAACAAAAGTTGAGAGAACCCCTGATCTGAAAGGTATGTCTTTGGTTTGTGGGCTCATCCCTACGCATACTTCTTTCTCGTTCTCACCAATTTTTTTTTGCATATGAAGTGATTATAGCTTTGCCAGTCATTTTAACTTTAAAACTCATTACATTGTATGGCTTATCATAATGTAGCCGAGAGAGAAGCCGTGAATGCTGCAGAAAGAGCAGAGAGGAAGCAACATCTCAGGGAGAAGGTCAGTTTCTGTTTTGGTCCTTGTCATCTTAATCTGTGAAAAGTCTCTATTGGTTAAGGTTTGACTGAAATCCTCGCTGTGTCTGGGGTTTTGCAGAAGAAACGTGAAGAGATAGAGAGGCTGGAGAAGGAGAGGCAAGCAGAGATGAGGAGCTACAAGGGATTAATGGTGACTGATAAAATGACATCCAACAAAGACATTGCTTCAAGCAACAAATCGCTTCAAGAACTCGAAGACGATTTCATGTAAAAGCCCATCAAGTAATGAGGAAAAAGCAAAGAAACCTCTGGTGCTGTGTACCCTTCAAAGAAGGCTTATGATGTTTCTATTAGCCTTATGATTATAATGATGATGGGTTTCATCTTTTGTTTCAAAAAGTCTTTGAAGACCTAAAACTCTGATTTGGTTCTTATACTCTTTCGTCCATTGAAATGTTTCATAGGATTGAGCCCGAGTCGTGAGAAAAACAGTGAGCATTAACACAGCCACACAAGTGAGCCAGTGATCTGGTGCGATCATGGTTTGTTTACTCTGCCTTGCTGTGTGTTGGTTGAAAATCATTTTACTACCCTTATACTTTTACTTTTTTTTACAATTGATCCCGAAATTCATTTACATAGGTTTAACCTCCCGCTTCATCTTAATCTGATCTTATTAGCTCTCAAAGTCAGTGTAAGGTTTGGATTTAATTCACACTATTAAATTACCAAGATCTTAAGCCACAATTTCCAATATTTACAGATACTTTTCACTTTTCAGTGTTCAATACAAGTCCCTAGATGAAATGCGTGTTCTTAATTAATCAAATGTTGACTAAAAGATCAAATATTCGGTTTAATACATCCATAATTCTAAAATTTTATGTATATGCTAGGCTACACAAAAACATTTCAAATAATACAAATTTTGAAATCTGCTTAAATCGATATGGTTGAAGTACTACTTTTAATTAGATTAGTTGGCTAGCAGCAACCTAAAGTCCGATGATTTGAAATAATTGCAGCCTGTGGCCCCAAAAGTGAATACCAATGATCAGTAGCCCAACAAATCTTTAGTGGAAATCAATGGGTTATTCAAATATATGGGTAAAATTCGAATAAGGGAAAAAGAAGGGGCAAGAAAATGAGAAACAACAATAATGACATCTCCATTGAGAACTTTAAAAAGATAAGAGACACGACAGGAAATAAGAAAAGATAGGAGACACGTGACCGATAATATTTAAAACGAACGGCTGAGATTAACTTAGATCACAAACTCAGAGCCGCTTGATAGGAAAAAACAAAAACGTTTGCAAAAATTCGAAGTTGCGCCATTCATGTTTTGAAAAAATAGCTAACGCCGACCGTTTAGATTTTCTCTCTTTATCTTCTCTCATTTGATCCCAAAAACTTTTTCAATCACTCCATCACTCTATCAAACACACAGTAAAGTGTGTTTTTGCTCTCAATTTGGGGTTTAACCAATTGTGGTCTGTCTAATTGAGATCTGATCGCTTCCGTTTCTGAAGCTCGTGTCGGTGAGTTTCTCTGATTACATGGTTAGAGGTCTTAAACTAGGTCTGATTAATCGTCGTATCTAGGTTTATTTGTCTATATATGATGTCACTTTTTGTTTAATTATCAATTTTTAATTGATTGTTGAGATGTGAAGCAAAACACCAATTTGTTGCTGTAATAATTTTAAGCATCGTGTATGTTTAGTACTAATGGTATAAATTGACGAAGAGGAGAGGGGAATAACTTTGTTAGATAATAATGTTTTTGTGTGCACATTGCAGAGAAGAAAGGTAGCGAATGGGAAGTGGAGTTACTATTTTTGTTTTGTCATTGAAGAGATATGGAAAGTGAGTGTGCAACAACAATCTCAACCCCACCTCCTGATGGGCTTACTGAAGGGAACCCCTCGAAAACGCGTCACGGGTATGCTTCTTCTTGTTTTATGTAACTTTTACTTAATAAGGTGAAGAAAGCGTTTTCATGTCGTCTGCATATCACATCTTTTCATGCCAATAATTTTTTTTATTGTTGTATCCTCTTTCTTTGTGTTTATCTATTTCCTTATTAGGTTGGCATGTTTGGTCTTTCTTGAAATTGAGTTGCATGACAATCAATATGTGTGTTGATGTTTTACAGGAGGACTAGTGGCCCTACAAGACGTTCAACTCGAGGTCAATGGACACCAGAAGAGGTAAAGTTTCGTGTTTCCTTCAACTTTCGCTTACAACTTTTTTTACCAGTGGTGTTCAGTTTTATCTGATAATCTGGTTTCATGTGATTGATAGATGCAACAAAGTCCACCTTGTGTTTGTGTGTGTTCATTTGCATGATACCAATGATCAGGCTACATATAATTAGTTGCTTTTTATGCCTAAGTGCATTTTGCTTAGATCCTATATGTAAAGTACTAAATCAGAGAAACAGAAGAAGTGGACTTTTTGCATATGTGCGTTTCTATATTTGATCATTTGTTGAGCAAACATATATTTCAGGATGAGATTTTGAAAAAAGCTGTCCACAATTTTAATGGGAAAAACTGGAAGAAGATAGGTAAATGCAGATTTTTTTTTTTGTCTAATTGGATCTTACATCGTTGTCTGATCTGCTTTTTCTCAACTTCCAGCTGAATACTTCAAGGATCGAACTGATGTTCAATGCCTCCACAGGTGGCAAAAGGTCCTTAATCCTGAACTTGTTAAAGGGCCATGGACCAAGGAGGTGAGATAGATTTTCTTCACTACTTTTATATCTGCATCTTGCGTACTTGACCCTATATGACTGGTTATTGCTCTGGTTTGACATGTGTGTAGGAAGATGATATGATTGTTCAGTTAGTCCAAAAATATGGGCCGAAGAAGTGGTCCACTATTGCTCGGTATTTACCTGGCCGTATTGGAAAGCAATGTAGAGAGAGGTATGCTTGTATGGACATTTCTCTAAAAGCAACAGAGTTTTCCTAGCACTTGGAAGCTTTTCAGTATCTAGATTTTTTGTGATTGATATAGGTGGCATAATCATCTCAATCCTGCTATAAACAAGGAAGCTTGGACTCAAGAAGAAGAGCTGGTTCTGATTCGTGCTCATCAGGTATATGGTAATAGATGGGCAGAGTTAACAAAGTTCTTGCCTGGAAGGTACTACTATTTACTTTCATCTAGAAATAACCATACATCTTATTCACTCTTAAGGTGTTCTCTATGTGTTTTAGCCATGTATTTTGCGTTGCTTTGTTATCAACAGGTCGGACAATGGAATTAAAAATCACTGGCACAGTTCAGTTAAGAAGAAACTGGATTCTTATATGTCGTCTGGCCTTTTGAATCAGTATCAAGCCATGCCTTTAGCTCCTTATGAGAGAAGCTCCACATTGCCATCTGCTTTTATGCAGAGTACTATAGATGGTAATGGCTGCATAAGTGAACAGGCAGAGAAAGAAGTAGAAAACTGTCAGGTTTCAAGCGTGGCTGGTTCCTCTATATCTACTATGGATTATCAAAATGGAATGATAAACATGGGGCAACACTTTCACCCTTGTGAAAACTCTCACATGAATGAGGGAGCTGCGTATCATTCAAATCAGTATTATTATCCGGACCTGGAAGATATCTCAGTCTCCATCTCAGGACTCTCTTATGACATGGAGGACTGTTCACAGTTTCCTGATCATAATGTCTCGAGTTCTTTGAGTCAGGATTACCAATTTGTACAGGAGCTGTCGGATGTTTCAATGGAGATGAGACATAATATGTCAGAGTTACCAACGCCATATACCAAGGAGAGCAAGGAATCTTCTCTGGGAGCTTCAAACTCTACATCATATATAGATGAGGCTACTTACACAAACCCTGCAAACGTTTCCAGGTCTGAAACGGAATGTTGCAGGATCCTTTTCCATGATCAAGAGAGTGAAGGGCTCAGTATTTCTAGATCTTCGATTCAAGAGGCAAACGAGGTTGACCTGGCAGACTATCAAAATCCTGTTATCTGTGCATCAGTTTCAGACAGCCAGATTTCAGAAGCTACAAAATCTCCTGTACAGAGCTCTTCTTCAAAGTCTATTACAACAGCTTCCTCAGGCAAAGAAACTCTCCGGCCGGCTCCCTTGATCATATCACCTGATAAGTATTCCAAGAAGTCATCTGGATTGATATGTCATCCTCTTGAGGCAGAACCAAACTCCAGGACAAATGAAAATGGTGGCTTCATTACTTGTGCTAATGAAGGGCCTAATAACTCCAGCGAAGAAGATCACTCATATCATTTGAATGATTCCAAAAAGTTGGTTCCAGTGAACGACTTTGCTTCTCTAGCAGAAGTTAAGCCACACTCTCTTCCTAAGCATGAGCCAAACACAACAATAGAGCAGCATCATGATGATACAGGAGGAGCATCATCAAGTCTCTCATTTCCAAGCTTGGACCTACCTGTTTTCAACTGTGATATCTTACAATCTAAAAACGATCCGCTGCAAGATTATAGCCCTCTTGGCATACGCAAGCTACTGATGTCCACCATGACGTGCATGAGTCCCCTACGGCTGTGGGAATCTCCCACTGGTAAAAAGACGTTGGTTGGAGCAAAGTCAATCCTGAGGAAACGCACCCGTGATCTGCTGACACCGTTGTCTGAGAAAAGAAGTGATAAAAAGCTTGAAATTGATTTAGCATCCAGTCTTGCAAAAGATTTTTCACGTCTGGATGTGATGTTTGATGAGAGTGAGAGTGGAGTATCAATGTCTCTTGAGAAAACAGAGCAAACTTGCTTGGATGCATATGTTGAGAATGTAAGTCTCTTTTTTCCTTTAAATCATTTGAACATCTGTTGAGTTATCTATTTTATTACAAGCTTCATATGAAACTTGCTAGTGAGGAAGTACTTGGTTTGATTATGAATCTGGTAGATTTCATGTCATGGTCATCTAATTAATTTATTTACCACAGAACAGTCATCATTTTATTTTCTATGCAATATTTTGAACGGATAAAATCTTGTGCAGGTTGAAAGTTTATCTGGTGTTCTTTCTGAGAACAATACCAACAACCAAGTGCTGTCTCCTCCTGCTCAGTCAGTAACCAAAGCAGAGAAGGCACAAGTTTCAACACCAAGAAATCATTTGCAGACTCTCATGGCTAATTCTAACAAAGATCAACATTCTCCTGCAAGCCTTTGTTTCGTCATCAATTCGCCATCTCGTGGGAGAAACACCGAGGGTCATATTGTTCACAGTGAGACAAGCAATGAGAGTTTCAGCATGTACATACACTTTTTACTTTTTTTTTATTTTTCAATACGTGCTTCAAGTTATTGCTACAATGATTTTGCTTCTTCTCTATTTACAGATTCTGTGGAACTCCATTCAGGAGAGGTCTTGAATCTCCGTCAGCCTGGAAATCTCCATTCTACGTAAACTCTCTCTTGCCAAGCCCAAGGTTTGACACAGATATAACAATCGAGGTATCTCATAATGTTCTACGTTCCTTCCATTATATACTCAACCTTTTGCATTCATGAGTGCATAAATTTAGGCAATTTTGTGCTTGTTATTTCCAGGACATGGGATACGTTTTCAGCCCTGTGGAGAGAAGCTACGGGAGCAGAGGACTTATGACAAAGAGAAATGAGCATACAAGTGCATTTGCAGCATTCGATGCAATGGAGGTTTCACTTTCAGCAAGTAACTATAATGATGCAAGGAAGATGATGGAATTGGATAAAGAGAATAATGATCCTCTACTGGTAAATATATACCCCACTAATCAATCATTCACCCTCTAAGTATGAGATTATGATTGTCTGATTCTAGAAACGAATAAAAATATATTTTTCTTTCCATCTTTATAGGGGGAGCGTCGAGTGCTGGACTTCAACGATTGCGAGTCACCCACCAAAGTAACATAAGAAGCCTCATCCTCTTACCTCTTAATGAGATGTAGGTAAAAAGCCAGAACCTCAATACATAAAATTCATTGCACGTATGTGCATCTTCTGTAAACAGACTCTCCCTGGTTGGATCAACTTCTCTGTTTTTTTTCTCTTTAAATGAATCAGCTTGAATGAATTTATGTAGATACTGTGTACTCGATATAATATAGTATATACATCTCCCATATTTGCCTGCAATGAGTATGCACATTCATGTGACCATGTCCATATACTTGGTAAATGCAAGGCGATGAGTATGTCCATATATTTTGAAGCAATCCACGTGCATATTGGAGTAGACACGAACTTTATAACTTCAACGATCAGTAACAATTTTCTTGTTCTATGTTAGGTTCCATAAGCTAGAACCCTTCAAAGATAGAACCAAAAATTTAAAGCTGGTTGCTGTCTGCAAAGTTACTACATTGACTGTAAATAGTAGAAGAGGCACACAACTCTCTTGCCTACTTTATTAATACTGGGATGAAATAACAATAATAATAATGAGATTCATCTGTCCTGCTGGATATGCTGAAAACAAAAACAGAATAAGATTCTTTATTATCAACGTTTAACCGTAGTGGTGGTGCTTAGATGTTTCAAACGGCCTTGGTAACAACGGCATGGATAGCGTCTGCAAGGTGAGGTACAGTCTTGGAGCTAAGACCAGCCATGCTTATCCTCCCGTCCGATGTCATGTAGATGTGGTACTCTTTAGTCATGAAGGCGACTTGAGCTGGGTTTAGCCCTGTGAATGTGAACATACCGATCTGCTTTATGATGTGAGTCCAGTCTCCAGGCGTGCCTGTCACATGATTTGAGTGTGTTATTACTTAAGCTATTGCATGTCTGATTAAACAGTGTGTTTTGCTGTTTTCGATGATTATATACAATCATGTAAGACGTTACCTCGAGAACGTAATGCCTCGAAAAGCTGTTTTCTCATGCTGATGATACGATCAGCCATGGCTTTCAGTTCCAGAGTCCATTCGTTGAATAAGTTTCTGTCACGGAGGATTACAGCAACGATGGATGCACCATGGATTGGAGGGTTTGAGTACATTGGCCTTATTACAAGTTTCAGTTGGCTTTCAACTCTGCCCGCTACATCTGCTGCTTTGCACACCTATAAATTCCAGATTTCGATCAAGAGAGTATCTCTCACGTCAGAGCTCAAGATTTTCTTAATTAGACTGAATCTTACAATGCTGAGAGCTCCAACTCGTTCTCCATAGAGCCCCATGTTCTTTGCATAACTCTGAGCAACGAGTAATTCTCCTCCATCAGCAACAAACATCCTAATCGGTTTCGCATCTGTATCCAGACTCCCACTCGCAAAGCCCTGCATTAGCAGACAAGTATTAACCATTTGTTGAGAGCAGAAATGGTTTAAACATCAGCTGGTCCTATACAACAACAAAAGGATCCAGAGCAGAAGTGTACCTGATAAGCACTATCAAAGAATGGCATCAATCCTTTGGAACGCATCAACTTCCTGATTTGCTCCCATTGTTCAAGGGTTGGATCAACACCAGTTGGGTTATGAGCACAGGCATGGAGAAGCACTATAGAACCCTGTGGGGCAGCACCAAGGTCTTCTAATAAACCTGTGAAAGAAGAAAGGGTTACGGTTGAACAGTTGTAAAAGCTAATCAACAACTTTGATAAAATGATGAGATACAATATCAAAGCATAAAACTCAAGCATCTGCATTCTGACCTTGAAAGTTCAACCCACGTGTTGATGGATCGTAGTATCGGTAAGTTTTCACTGACAAACCAGCCAGTGTGAAAATTTTCGGATGGTTTCCCCATGTTGGCTGAGGAATATAAATAGTTTTCTGGAAAAAGACAAAGGAAGACCTCAAATTTACATGAATGTTCATTAGGTTGAAGAAATTCAATCAGACATAAAAAAAAAGACTTGAGCATATCTACCTGATGATAATGCCTAGCCAAAAACTCCCCACCAACTCTCAGGGAACCAGTACCAGACAAACACTCCACAGTTGTAACACGATTCTCCCGAATAGCAGGACTAAGTCATGCGTGAAAGAACACAAATCAGAAAACATTGTCAGGAGTTACAATAAACTGCTGAACACATAAAAAGAATAATCAGAGGACATTTACCTGTCAGCGCCTAGAATGAGCTTAGCGCTCAACTTGTTGAACTCACCCAATCCAACAATGGGAAGATACTCCTTAATCCGTGACCTACAGATTAACCCCACACACAAAAAAAAAAAAAAAAAAAAAAGACTAATCATCATCAAGTAACACTCATAAGGTTGTAATATAACCAAACCTAAATCCAGAGTGAAAGAAAGAGAGGTAAACCTGTCATTGACGAGCTGCTGCTCAGCTTTCCTCACAACATTAAGAACCAAAGGTTTCCCCTCCTATTACACACAACACCATTAACAAACCAAACGTTGCTCCCTTCCAAAAACACATAACACCACTAGAGGAAAAATCAGATACAATTTCACTAATCATTACCTCAGTTCTGTAAGCACCAACTCCCAAATTAAGCTTAATTGGGCTAGGATCTTTGTTATAAGCAACAGTCACCTGTTTACATTGTTCAAAAACAAGCATCAGAGTACATCACAGAGCTAATAATACATAACCTATGCTTACTATATTTTCCAATAATTATCAATCAAAAACGAGTAATTAAGGAAAATTCTATCTGTTCTGCTAATTAACCGATCCAAATCAGAAGAACAAACATCAAATCGCACTAACCAATACCCGATCCATCGGAATTCGGAATCACAACCAGCTAGAAACTTCAAATGCGTACAACACACATTATCCAAAATCGTCTTAATCTATGATTGAAAGCTATACACACACACACAAATACATCAAAGGAGAAGGAGAAGGTACCCCAAGGATAGGATCCTCGGGAGCTTGAACAAGATGAGCGAAAACAGAACCTCCCGTGCCTCCCGACGTAGGCGATGCGAATACGGAGCTCACGCGATCCGCATCTGTCTCGGCAGTTAGATGACGGAGGAGAGCGCCGATCCTGCGATCGCTTGGCGACGACGAAGAAGAAGATGAGAATTGGTTAGTTTTCATNGTACCCCAAGGATAGGATCCTCGGGAGCTTGAACAAGATGAGCGAAAACAGAACCTCCCGTGCCTCCCGACGTAGGCGATGCGAATACGGAGCTCACGCGATCCGCATCTGTCTCGGCAGTTAGATGACGGAGGAGAGCGCCGATCCTGCGATCGCTTGGCGACGACGAAGAAGAAGATGAGAATTGGTTAGTTTTCATTTTTTTTTCTTTAGCTTTTGTGTAATGTATGGATACGAATTTGCTCTCATTCACTCCTTATTAATAATAACAGTTTGGATTTTTTTTACGTAATCCAAAGTTGCTAGATGCCACGTAAGCTTTAGCATAAAGTTGCGTGCCCGCGTTACGTTTGATATTTTTTCTGATAAGGGGGGACCGACCGTTCCTTCGTCATGATCAGGATAATACATTAATAAACTGAAAAGTCTTTGTAAGATTATCCTTAAAATCCGGTAAGAATAATTTATACCACCAAAAATAGGGTTAAAATTCGCATTTTAACTGACAAAAAAAATAATCAAATTTTTAGTAACAAAAACCTTCTCTTTGGAATGCTCAGTGTTTTAGTTTGTCTATAATAGAAGAAATCATAAGAAGAAAACAAATGTCAATACATATATATATATATATATACAACATCAAACTATTTTATTGATACTAAGGTTGGATTCGAATGTTATATGAAACATTAGAGAAACAACACATTTTTAAGAAGATATTGAAATTGAAAAAGTAATAACACGTTGCTATCTAACTCATCCGTGAATAATATATATATATATTACAAAACTTTATTAGAATATTTTGTCATTGAGTATAATTAAGATCTGGTTTACTATATGTTGTTTTCTATTTCGGTGGAATGTTGAAGCTTGCTTTCATTAGAATAGACATGATCGATATTCTATTATAGATGGGTTAAAATAAAAAAGGTGTTACCATCAAGGATTCGTTTAGTTAAGTTGATAGCTCAAATTTAATACTCCATGATTTAATATCTTGATTTTAGATGATTGTGATAAATTTAAATTTGGATTATATATGGAACCGTTTAGCCAATGCCAGAAACAAAAATACAATTAAGGCTACTGCAGTTCAAAAAGCGAAGCTTTTGATCTGAAAATCCTGTAAAATATATACACTGTTTAAAGGTTATCCTTGTTCACATATATTTTTAGTTGATATGGACATTTCTTGTATTGGTTCAGAATTAAAGTCATATTTTCTATTATGCCTGATCGTATAATGCACCGTCTTTCAGTTAGGTGAAAGGACGAAGCCATAAGTAAATCTATGCAGGAGTTAAAGTAAGACGAATTTTTAAAATATCTAATAAATTAGATCGTTTTATCTCATACGACTGAAAATGAAAATAGAAATAAAAACTGAAATGTTACTGGATGTATGTGCATCCACTTATAGCTTTTCTTTGCGTCCATCTCTGGTTAGGTGTTGATGGTCCACGTATTAACTTTTTTAAGTTCGCATACGAGTGTTGATGTTTTTTTGCCATTTTAATGACAACGAAGATCCATTTCGTTGGATTATCGATGGCTTATTGAGATGATCTTTTCAATTTGTTGTTAAACTGGCTTTGGGAATTCATCTGGCCGTTTTCAATATGTTTTATTTATTTATTTCTGAGCTTTTAGCATATTCAGTTTTATAAATATAATCTTGTATAGCTTTCACTACGTACCTCCTTTCGTCTACTACATCCTGTTATAGTCCACATCCCCAGGATCCGCAATGAAGAACAGTTTTCTTAGTTAAGAAAGTCCAGATGAGACACATTCTCTTCTTTCACATAAGTCAGATAGGAGTCGGATGCAGACGTTCCTTAATTTGAACATTGCTACTATTGACCATAACTTGATTTAATAGAGTGGATTGTTGATAAAAATATATCATGTAACTTTGTATTTCATACCGCAACTTAATAAATATGTAGTTCAACTGGCGATTTTAGTTTTAGACTGAGATATTATATGGATATTTAGATTTTAATTATTTTGATCATAACAGGAAGTCATAAATGGTGAAAATGATACCTGGGAACACTTAACTGCTTACACGACAAATGCAAGTGTTGGATGTTTGTGATGTAATATACTAGTATTGC